TTCCCTAACGTTCTCCACATTGTTCCCCGCTCTCCCTGAAGCTTCCTCTAACGTTCTCCTCATTGTTCCCCGCTCTCCCTGAAGCTTCCTCTAACGTTCTCCTCATTGTTCCCCGCTCTCCCTGAAGCTTCCTCTAACGTTCTCCTCATTGTTCCCCGCTCTCACTAAAGCTTCCTCTAACGTTCTCCACATTGTTCCCCGCTCTCCCTGAAGCTTCCTCTAACGTTCTCCTCATTGTTCCCCGCTCTCCCTGAAGCTTCCTCTAACGTTCTCCTCATTGTTCCCCGCTCTCCCTGAAGCTTCCTCTAACGCTCTCCTCATTGTTCTCCGTTCTCCCTGCAGCTTCTCGGCTCGCAGTTCATCCACGCCATACATCCGATGCTAGAGGAGCAGGGAGAGTGGAACACCGACGTCGAGCGAGCATGGACGAAGATGTTCAGCATCATCAGTTACCACATGAACTACGGCATGCGCATGCAGAGACAGCTAAACAAATCCAACCTCGCCGCCGCTACCGCTGCCGCCGCCACTGCTGCTGCTGAGCAGAAGAATAACCAGCGGAAGACGAAGAAGATTTCCTACTGAGAGCTACTGTTAGCCAGTATTTGCCCCGTGCCAAGAGAACTTTGAAGATGACGCGAGAATTTGTATTTTTCGCGTGAGAAGATATACACGCGCGGCAACCGATCGTCTGGTGTAATTACCGAAATAAACATACCACCGGACGGGAAATCCGAAGATCCTGTCGGTCCGGTTCGCATCCTAGCTCTCTGGGAAACCGTATTGATGGCTCCATAGTGATGCGAGAGTGAACTTACTGTGGCGTTCAGCGCCACGGGTGATAGAAGCACAGCAGGAATTCTATGTGTGTGTGTGTGTGTGTGTGTGTGTGTGTGTGTGTGTGTGTGTGTGTGTGTGTGTGTGTGTGTGTGTGTGTGTGTGTGTGTGTGTGTGTGTGTGTGTGTGTGTGTGTATGTGTTGCGTAGTGTGGAACAAGGACAAAAATCTGGTTTATTGTTTAGTCAAGGATGTAGTATATAGAGGACGTATCCATCGTTAAATTATCTCAGTTCCATATTGAAATCGCAACTGCTGACTTTCATGCGTATAACAACAACAAATTTTTATTTTACAAAGTATATTTATACACACAATTGTATAGTTAAGAAACGGTAACAGTATCTCAAATGTTTAAAAAAAAGCTTTCTCTCGCTGTCCACATTAATATCATGTGTACACTACATACATGCATACATACATACATACAACATACATACATAACAGTACAATACAAGACGTACTACGTAGCGTACAGTCGTCAGACATACATACATACATACATACATACATAACATACATGAGCATACATATCATACATACTACTACATAGGGGGCGGGGGGGGGGGGAGGGCCGTGTACATACAGTACATACATACATACATACGATACAGTACAACATGACAGTACATAACATACATACATAAACGATACAGTGTACAGTACATGACATACAATACATACATAACATACCATACATACATACATACATACATACATTACATAGCAGGTACAGTAGCATAGAGTAGCGTGCATGAGCGAGTTGATCAGGTACATTACATATCATAGCATACGAGAGATACATACAGTACATAATGACATACATACATACAGTACGAGTAGCATACATACATACGATATCTATAGCATACAACATGACATACATACATACATACATACGATACATACCATACATACATACATAGTGCATACGCATGACGAGTAGCAGTGACATACATACATACAGTGACCCATCATACATCCATGAGAGTGAGCATACAGTACTAGCGAGTACATAGCGAGTAACTAGCGATAGCGATACATCCGATGAGCATAGGGCGAGTGAGCGAGTAGCATAGTAGGTGGAGGCGTGTGAGAGAGCGTTATATAGAACGAGCGAAACGTTTTTGATTCGCACGCATGCTCGCGTGCACAAAACAATCAATGTTGTCGCACGTGAACGCGCTTGAGCAAGCCGCAAGCGCATGCTAAATGTGCGTCATGCGAAGCTAACCCGCGTGCGTCATGCCCGAACACGCACGATCGATGCTCGGCTATCTTCGTCGTCTAACATTTTTCATTCCCGAGAGCCGCAGAAGACGTCGCCGCGTATCAGAGCGTGTCACATCATTGCGTACGTGTATATAATAAAAAAAACGTCTCTTTGGTTTAATAATAAATCGGCTTTTCGCTCGCATAACAATCTACATGTGCATCGTTAATCGACAGAAGACTCCTTCCTCCTTCCCAGACGAGAATCTCTATTGTCGAGAAACGCGGAAACATTCTCCCGGTCTGCCACGTACCGCGTGTGTTCAATTACCCGGATGTAAGATGGCGCCCGCACAACGGGGTGTTTATAAATAATTAATCCGACGTTTTCTCGACTAATATGTCGCGTCGTTTAAAACGTATCACCGAGACGAAGAAGATTTCGCTCAGCGGTTGATATATATATACACAGCCTTAAGAACGAGTGACCTAGTGCCATTTCCTAGGGACGTGCGAGTTTTAATGGTATCTGTTGTGCCTGTTGTTTCCGTATTTCGGGTAGTACCTGTTATTATACCTGCCGTGGCCGCCCTTGCCGTAACGGTGGCCCTTGTTGTATCGGTTACCATGGTAACTAGGGCGTCCGTAGCTCTTGTAGTTACCGCCGCCGCCGTACCTAGGGTAGCCGTGTCCGTAGCTCTTGTAATGTCCACCCTTGCCGTAGCTCTTGTAGTTACCGCCGCCGCCGTAGCTTGGGTATCCGTGTCCGTAGCTCTTGTAATGTCCACCCTTGCCGTAGCTGTTGTAGTTACCGCCGCCGCCGTAGCTTGGGTAGCCGTGTCCGTAGCTCTTGTAATGTCCACCCTTGCCGTAGCTGTTGTAGTTACCGCCGCCGCCGTAGCTTGGGTAGCCGTGTCCGTAGCTGGCGACAGAATAAGGAAGGGTAGCCTCATCGCGTAGCCGCTGGCCCCGCTACCCTTTGCGGCGTAACCACA